GCCCAGGGTGAACATGCCAAAACTGTGCCCCCCCTCCCCCCAAGATGTATGAGCATTATGTGTCAGCAAAAATCCCACCAAGATGTATGAACATTGTGTCAGCAAAAATCCCCCCCCCCCCTCCCCAAGATGTATGAACATTATGTGTCAGCAAAAATCCCCCCCCCCCCCAAGATGTATGAGCATTATGTGTCAGCAAAAATCCCACCAAGATGTATGAGCATTATGTGTCAGCAAGTATCCCCCCCCAAGATGTATGAACATTATGTGTCAGCAAATATCCCCCCCCCCAAGATGTATGAACATTATGTGTCAGCAAATATCCCCCCCCCCCCCCAAGATGTATGAGCATTATGTGTCAGCAAATATCCCCCCCCCCCCCACCACCAAGATGTATGAACATTATGTGTCAGCAAATATCCCCCCCCCCAAGATGTATGAACATTATGTGTCAGCAAATATCCCCCCCAAGATGTATGAACATTATGTGTCAGCAAAAATCCCCCCCCCCCCCAAGATGTATGAGCATTATGTGTCAGCAAAAATCCCCCCCCCCAAGATGTATGAACAGTATGTGTCAGCAAAAATCCCCCCCCCCCCAAGATGTATGAACATTATGTGTCAGCAAATATCCCCCCCCCAAGATATATGAGCATTATGTGTCAGCAAATATTCCCCCCAAGATGTATGAACAGTATGTGTCAGCAAAAACTCCCCCCCCAAGATGTATGAACAGCATGTGTCAGCAAAACTCCCCCCCCCCCAAGATGTATGAACAGTATGTGTCAGCAAATATCCCCCCCCCCAAGATGTATGAACAGTATGTGTCAGCAAATATCCCCCCCCCCCAAGATGTATGAACAGTATGTGTCAGCAAATATCCCCCCCCAAGATGTATGAACAGTATGTGTCAGCAAATATCCCCCCCCAAGATGTATGAGCATTATGTGTCAGCAAATATCCCCCCCCCCAAGATGTATGAGCATTATGTGTCAAGAAAACCCCCCCCAAGCTGTATGAACATTATGTGTCAGCAAATATCCCCCCAAGATGTACAAGCATTATGTGTCAGTAAATATCCCCCCCCCAAGATGTATGAGCATTATGTGCCAGCAACCCCCCCCCCCCCCATATGTATGAACATTATGTGTCAGCAACCCCCCCCCCCAAAGACGTATGAGCATTATGTGTCAGCAAAAATCCCCTCCTACACCCCCCTCCATGTATGAGCAAAATGTGTCAGCAAAATCTCCCCCCCCAAGATGTATGTATTATGTGTCAGCAAAAATCCTCCCCCCTGCATTAGCATTATGTGTCAGCAAAACTCCCCCCCCCCCCCCCCCCCCCCCCCGCAAAACAAAAAATCAGGCAGTAATCTGCATTCTTACCCCCAAGCATGAATTCCCCCTTCTCCCAGTACAAATCTGCCCCCCTACTGGAATGCCCTATTCCCAACACAAATCTTTGCCTCCCCCCAGCTTAAATCCTCTCTCTCCCCAAATGCCCCCAGCACAACCCCCCCCCCCCCCAAAAAAAAAAAAAAAATTCCTCTACCCCTCAAATTTCTTCTCTGAGCATAAATCCCCCACTCCATATCACTCTCTCACAGCACAAATTCCACTTCCCCAGCACCCCTCCTAGCACAAAATCCCCCCAAGTTCCCTTACTAGCACAAATACCCCCCAGTCACCCCTACTAGCACAAATACCCCCCAATCACTCCTACTAGCACAAATACTCCCAAAAACATTTGGCCTCCTAGCACAACCCCCCTCCCACCCAGTGACATCATCAATAGCCCTGTCCCTTAAATTATTCAGCAGTAAGAAGTAGCGGAAGCCTTCGTCAGGTACGGACCTGTTTTGTTTTTTGTTTTTTATTGGGTTGGCGGCCGGAGTTCATCCTGATTGACGTTGGATCTACATCGAGAGACAATTTTTTTTTTATCTAGTAAAGGACTTGTGTTTTACTCACTTTTACTACTTTTTTAGTGACGGAGTAGGGGTATTATGTACCCCATACTCATTCACATGAAGGGGTGGTGGGATCTGGGGGCTTCCAGATTCCAAAACGTCACCCTCCGCACTCCCACAAGAGAAGGGAAGAGGTCCTTATCCTCATCAACATGGAGACAAAGTGCTTTGGAGGGGGTAGCCCCCCGTATCCCAAAGCACCCCCCACATGTTGAGGGCATGTTGCCTAATATGGTTCGGGGGGGGGGGCACTTGCTCGTACCCACCATTTCCTGGCCTGCCATGCTGCATGCTCATATAAGGGTCTGGTATGGATTTTGGGGGGTGACCCACACTTTTTATTGTTTCTAATTTTCCCTTAAAACACATAGCAGACCTGAAGGGCCTGGTATGAATAGGGGGGGGGGGACCCCTGCACTGTTTTTTTTTCAATTTTTTATTGCCGGAAATTGCTTTGTTTACATTCAGTTGGCAGGGAACTGACTCATCCAATGTTAAGGACAAGGCGGCCAGCTTGCCAGGCTGATCCTTAACAACCAGCTACTCTCTGGTTGTTAGGACGCTGGCGGCCTCCACTTAGAAAAAAAAAATGTTTATCAGAGTTTAGGAGACTTTTTCTGGCAAAACGCTGCTGCTCCAGAACTCGCTGTATATAAATGGCTGGATGGTGGCAGTACAGGGGCGGGTTGCTGTTCATTTTGGACTGTGTGCGCTCCCCGGGAGCAAGCAACACCGCAATCCGGTGCCCGCTGTGTCCTCCAGACACAGTGGAACACCGATCGTCATACGTCTGTGCGAGGTCCCGATCATGTGATCACTGATTGGCCAATCAGTGATCACATGCAGAGTAGTAAGCAAGATGTCACTTCTGACCTCATTGCTTACTACCTGTGAAATCTGTGAATGATCATGGAGGTCACATGGTACAGGACTATTCACAAAAAATGTAAAAAAGATTTTTTAAAAATTATAATTTTTGGTTATGAACTAATTTGGGGGGGGTTTTCTACTAAAAAGATAACTGAATACATTTTGGCCAAGATTTATGATGAAATATTATTTATTTGCAAAATTTTATAAGAAAACGCTTTTTTTCCAAATCTTTTTAATTTTTCATTTATATAGCAAAAAAAATAAAAATCCCAGCGGTCAATACATACCAGCAAAATAAAGCTTTATCTGTCTAAAAAAAATGCTAAAAAATTAATATGTGTACAGTGTTGCATGACCGCGCAATTGTCATTCACAGTGCGACAGCGTTGAAAGCTGAAAATTGGCCTGGACAGGAAGGGGGTGAAAGTGTCCGGACTGGAAGGGGGGGAAAGTGTCCAGACTGGAAGGGGGTGAAAGTGTCCGGACTGGAAGGGGGGGAAGTGTCGGGAATGGAAGGGGGTGAAAGTGTCCGGACTGGAAGGGGGGGAAAGTGTCCAGACTGGAAGGGGGTGAAAGTGTCCGGACTGGAAGGGGGTGAAAGTGTCGGAATGGAAGGGGGGAAAGTGTCCGGACTGGAAGGGGGGGAAAGTGTCCAGACTGGAAGGGGGTGGAAAGTGTCCGGACTGGAAGGGGGGGAAAGTGTCCGGACTGGAAGGGGGGGAAAGTGTCCAGACTGGAAGGGGGGAAAGCAGGGGGGTGTGAAGCAGGGGCGGACTGACCATTTGGAAACTCTGGCACTGCCCGAGGGCCCGAGGTCAGTAGGGGGGCCCATGAGATGCCCCTGGTCCCTTTTTCATAGGCTTTTTTGAGTTTTGGCAAGGACACGGGGGCCCCATGATCCCCTATTGCCCAGGGGGCCCCATGAGTTGACAGTCCGCCCCTGGGTGAAAGTGTCTGGACTGGAAGGGGGGAAAGTGTCCGGACTGGAAGGGGGTGAAAGTGTCCAGACAGGAAGGGGGTGAAAGTGTCCAGACAGGAAGGGGGTGAAAGTGTCCGGACTGGAAGGGGGTGAAAGTGTCCGGACTGGAAGGGGGTGAAAGTGTCCAGACAGGAAGGGGGTGAAAGTGTCCGGACTGGAAGGGGGGTGAAAGTGTCCGGACTGGAAGGGGGGGAAAGTGTCCGGACTGGAAGGGGGGGAAAGTGTCCGGACTGGAAGGGGGGGAAAGTGTCGGACTGGAAGGGGGGGAAAGTGTCCGGACTGGAAGGGGGGGAAAGTGTCCGGACTGGAAGGGGGTGAAAGTGTCCGGACTGGAAGGGGGGGGAAAGTGTCCGGACTGGAAGGGGGTGAAAGTGTCCGGACTGGAAGGGGGGAAAGTGTCCGGACTGGAAGGGGGTGAAAGTGTCCAGACAGGAAGGGGGTGAAAGTGTCCGGACTGGAAGGGGGGTGAAAGTGTCCGGACTGGAAGGGGGGGAAAGTGTCCGGACTGGAAGGGGGTTGTGAAAGTGTCTGGACTGGAAGGGGGTGAAAGTGTCCGGACTGGAAGGGGGTGAAAGTGTAAAGTGGACTGGAAGGGTGGGAAAGTGTCCGGACTGGAAGGGTGGGAAAGTGTCCGGACTGGAAGTTGGGGAAAGTGTCCGGACTGGAAGGGGGGGAAAGAGTCCGGACTGGAAGGGGGGGAAAGTGTCCGGACTGGAATGGGGGGGAAAGTGTCCGGACTGGAAGGGGGTGAAGGGGGGTGAAAGTGTCTGGACTTGAAGTGGTTAAAAAGGTACCTGTCATTTGCCTCCCAACCACAAAGCCAGCCATCTGGATAAGTAATCTTTGACCAATCGCAGCCTCTAAATTCACGGGCGGGGAGTTTTGCTCAGACTACATGTGTGTGAGTGACAGGTGCTCTTTAGCGCGGCTGCTTCCGGTGTCGCACAATTAAACCCCGCACCGGGCTGTGTTACACTATTATTCCCCAGGCTCGGAGCGGCTGCTTTACTTTCCCCGCACACACCTCTCCGGCTCAGAGTACATCAGATTATATGCATTTTTAATGAGTCCTTATGTTCCTTGGCTTCCAGGCAGCCTATGAGCCGGTCTGCTTCCCTGCCAGCTTCCCCCCCCCCCCCTCCTTCCCCACCGCGTCTACCGCCAGGTCATACTTACTGGTCCTCAATGACATCCTTGCAGCTCGATGCCACGATGTACCCGGCCGTCGATGCCAAAACCGCTTGTATAGAGGACACCAGCCTGCAGGGAGAGAGAGAAGAACAATAAGAGGAGGACACAGGGCAGGCGCCACCATATTCTGCAGTATTGGAGGTTCTAGGGGTCATCTGATCGTCTGGTAGGGGGCGTCTGCGCGCTCACGGGGCAGGTCACGTATTTTTAGGTGTTTTGTGTCGGGAAGACCTTAATCCCCCGGGACAGGATGTGCGGACGGCTCAGGGGATCGGATTAGTATGAGCCTCTCACATTTCTGTTACTGGCCACGTCACAGATCCATACATTGTTCACATATTGCTGACAGTGGCAGTTCATGGGATACCATGGACCAATGAGGAGGGAGCCTATCCATTCACTACAGACCAATGACGTCACTGAGGAGGGAGCCTAGCCATTCACTACAGACCGATGACGTCACTGAGGAGGGAGCCTATCCATTCACTACAGACCGATGACGTCACTGAGGAGAGAGCCTATCCATTCACTACAGACCGATGACGTCACTGAGGAGGGAGCCTATCCATTCACTACAGACCGATGACGTCACTGAAAAGGCAGCCTATCCATTCACACTACAGACCAATTACATCACTGCGAAGGCAGCCTATCCAATCACTCTAGACTGGTGACATCACAGAGAAAGCAGCCTATCCATTCACTGAGAGCGGTGACATCACTAAGAATGTAGCCTATCCATTCATTAGAGAGCGGTGACATCACCGAGAATGCAGCCTATCCATTCACTAGAGACCGGCGACATCCCTGAGAATGCAGCCTATCCATTCACTGAGAGCGGTGACATCACTGAGAATGCAGCCTATCCATTCACTAGAGAGCGGTTACATCACTGTGAATGCAGCCTATCCGTTCACTGAGAGCGGTGACATCACTGAGAATGCAGCCTATCCGTTCACTGAGAGCGGTGACATCACTGAGAATGCAGCCTATCCATTCACTGAGAGAGGTGACACCCCGAGAATGTAGCCTATCCATTCACTAGAGCCAGGTGACATCACCAAGAATGCAGCCTATCCATTCACTAGAGACCAATGACATCACTGACAATGCGGCTCATCTATCCCTTTACTTCCTTTCTGGTAAAATGTTGTCACCAGGACAGGAAGCAAAGGTAAATCTTTCTAATGGTGCCTCGGGCAGCAGCACAAGCTTGATAGGGCTTCGAATTCTTCCCTCCTCCATCCAACACAAGGAGAAAAGTTTTGGCTGAAGCAGAAGTCTCCATGTGGTACATTTTGTTACTATCTAATTTATTGCAATTCAAACTTATCCATGTAATAAAAATGTGACAGATGTGGTAGAAAAAACAGTCCGCAGCGTCTCATTACCCAGAATGCACCAGAATCTCACATAGCTTCTAAGCACAAAGTAGTTACAATATTTCAGAAGACATTCCTGGGTCGGTGGATTTACGAGCTCCGCTGTGGTGAGAGAATTAGCAGCATTTTGTCAGGGCTGGTACACCCACGGCCTCAACCCACCCCAACACTTTCCCATGACCTTCCCACGCACGGCCTCAACCCACCCCGACACTTTCCCATGACCTTCCCACCCACGGCCTCAACCCACCCCAACACTTTCCCATGACCTTCCCACCCACGGCCTGAACCCACCCCAAACCTTTCCCATGACCTTCCCACCCACGGCCTCAACCCACCCCAAAACTTTCCATGACCTTCCTACCCACGGCCTCAACCCACCCCAACACTTTCCCATTACCTTTCCACCCACGGCCTCAAACCCACCCCAACACTTTCCCATGACCTTCCCACCCCACCCGCCCCCCCCCCCCCCCACCCCCCCCCCCCCCCCCCCCCCCCCCCCATCTCTCCCACTGAGTACTTTCTATTCATGAACCTCGCCTAAAGCTCGCTATACACGTTACAATACTATACCTACCAACATTACTCTGCCGAATCCTGGGACAATGTTAATCCTGCCCATGGCCCACATTTTGTCGGCCCACATTTCGGGTGTGTCCAAATCAACACCACTAATGGGTTGGTCCCACCATGACATTCCCTCTAAATAGATGGGGACCACCCATCACACAAACTTTTCGTTGGTCGTGTTCAGACCCCCCACCTCTAAATATCCCTCATAATTGGCACAGAAGGTGTGCAGATCCTGGAAATCAGCTTAAAAATGGTGGGAACCCCTCATAATGGGCACAGCGGGTATACAGAGCCTGGGAACTCAGCACAGGGATGGTGGGAAGCCCTCATAATGGGCACAGCGGGTGTACCGACCCGGGAACTCAGTACAGGGATGGTGGGAACCCCTCATAATGGGCACAGCGGGTGTACCGACCCAGGAACTCAGCACAGGGATGGTGGGGAGCGCTCATAATGGGCACAGCGGGTGTGTACACCCGGGAACTCAGCACAGGGATGGTGGGAACCCCTCATAATGGGCACAGCAGGTGTACAGACTCGGGAACTCAGCACAGGGATGGTGGGAAGCCCTCATAATGGGTACAGCGGGTGTACAGACCCAGGAACTCAGCACAGGGATGGCGGAATCCCCTCATAATGGGCACAGTGGGTGTAAAAAACCTGGGAACTCAGCACAGGGATGGTGGGAACCCCTCATAATGGGCACAGCAGGTGTACAGATCCAGGAACTCAGCACAGGGATGGTGGGAACCACTCATAATGGGCACAGCAGATGTGCAAACCCAAGAACACCTACAGAGCCCTCTAGAGATAGAAACCCCTGTCAGGGGGTCTAATCCCCATTGTGAGGTGGACGGACCCGTGAAGTCTTGCTCCTGATCCATACTGCCGTTTGCTGCCCATGTATCAGGAGTTCTCGGGTGCAGCATACGCCGTGAGCACGGACGCCCCGATTCTCCTCCCAGGAATACAGTCATATTGATCTGGACAGGAATAACTACAGTCAGCGGATTGAAGAGGGAAGAATAAATTGTGACAAATGTTCAGTTTCTGAGGTCGGCCGGTCAACGTGGCCCCTGCAGGTCGAGTTCGCATGGCCCCTGCAGGTCGAGTTTGCATAGCCCTCGCGAGTCGAGTTTGCGTGGCCCCCGCAGGTCAGTTCGTGGCCCCCGAGTTCAGGTGGCCCCTGCAGGTCGAGTTCGCGTGGCCCCTGCAGGTCGAATTTCAGTAACGGTGACTCCTGTTTGCTATTTATATTTTAAAAAACAAACAAACACCGTAGCTGCGCTTTTACCTTTGCTGTCGTGAGTGAGAGCAGTCAGGGTGACGCAGGGAGACTCGCAGAGATTGGGATTGTCGCAGCACTGACAGTGTAATTATTTATATTCTGCCTTTCCTTCTACCTCACTACTCCCCTCATCAACATTCTAATGACATTTTGTAATAAAACCTTTCCATTTTCATGACATACCTCATTTCGGACCCAGTGATGTCATCACTGGGTCTCTGTGCTTCTCTATGCAATGCAGGCAGTTCATATCTGGTGGGAAGGGGTTACACGGGGAAACATCACAGCACCCTGCCTCAGTACTTCTGACACAGATGTCTATGCAAATTGCACAAAAAGTAGTGCATGAGCTACTTTATAAATCGGTGCGGCTTCGACCAAGTCAGAACCGCACCGATAGGACGGCTGTAATTGTAGACAATAGGGTGCGACTTGGCATGCAAGTGTGCAAATCACATGGCATGCAAATCGCATGCCGATTCGCATTCAGTGTGAAGAGACATTTCACCTAACCCCTGAACCTATCCCTAACACTTAGTCACCGGTCACACCGCTGCGATTTCAAATCGAGCGATTTGTGTGCAATTTCAGGTGTGTTTTTTATTGCTATTTGTGAAGACTTTCAATGATTTCTTGCCATTTGCAGTGCGATTTCCATGACATTCTATGTATGTGAAATCGCAACAAAACTGCAGTAAGTAAAAGTAATGTAAGAACTACTTTCGAAATCACGCCGCAGCAAATCGCACACGGTAAGACGCAGACATTCACATTCATTAGATGCGATTTCAATCTGCAAATCGCACCTGAAATCGCACCGGTATGACCAGCACTAAGCCCCCCTGTTCACATCAAGTCCGACTTTGAAATCATGCGACTTACAGTGAATTCACACGACTTCAAAGTCGGGGGACCCGTCGATTTCAGGTGCGATTTGCAAGATATCTGATACAGATGTCTATGCAAATCGCACCAAAAGTAGCACATGGACTACTTTTGAAATTGGTGCGGTTCCGGCCAAGTCGGAACCGCACCGATATGATCGCTCCAATTGCAGACAATAGGGTGTGACTTGGCATGCGATCTGCAAGTCGCAGGGCATGAAAATCGCATGCCAAGTCGCACCGATGTGAACGGGGTGTAAAATCCCAAATCCATCCAAAATATTTCAGTTTAGCGGGGAAAGAAAGCGTGCGTCCGTTTGTACTGCCATCTTTGTATGCATCCGACTGATTTCTTGTCAAGACGGAAAAAGACGGGAAATCTCTCCAGCAGGGACACAGGCAAAAAGCAAAACATGTGACAGCAGTCATGCAGCACAAAATCGTGCTCATTCATTGGCTGGGTTCAGGTGATTGCCACGGTGGGACCACGCCTCTTCCCGCAGCCACAACCACCACTGACTGGATGAGTGTGGGTGACATTAATCCTGGTGCCGCACGCACTGGAAATCGCAGCAGCACTGGGACCTGCATTTCCCATGTGGGCTGCAACTCCAAATATGGAGCAGGGACCTTTCCTCTGCGTTTCAAGAGGCATGGCACCCCATTCAAATGAATAGGCTACCTGGCCCATGCAGAATGCGGCTCGCAGAGTCTCTATAGTGCGAACCTAAAAATAAATTCATATTTTCAGAATTTTCTCCTTTTATGCAGAACAGTTAAGCCTGACTATCACCTGAGAATCAGGTTTGAAATCTCCATGTGAGGAGGACCTCCTGTGAGATTCCTCTCCTTCAGCCAGTGCATAAATTAAGTGATGTCTGGCAGTAGAGGAGAGAAAGGAGAGGAGGGAAGGGGATGAGCAAAGGAGAGAAGAGAAAA